ATCTAATTAAATTTGTGCTGATGACACAGTTTGATCCTTCAGACTCACAAACTGGGGTCTGTTTGTCAAATAGCTTATGATCCAGGTAAATATTGAGCCTCCCAAATCTGGAATTTCCTGTTAACCAGAGCTTGCCTAATGCCTCCACCTCACTCTTCTGGACTTTCTGACAAAGTAAAACCAGCCAAGTCATGTTAAATCCACTGGAAAAATCAGACATGATCTTTACAGAGCCCTCTGCTTAGTCTTTACTACAGTGGGTTTGTTGAAGCAGGTGCATGATGGCGTCTTCAACTCTACCTACACGGCGATAAGCAAACTGCAAGTAGTCTTGCTTACACATGTGGAGCAAGTCTCTCTAGGACCTTCATGTTGTGGGATGTCACGGCAACAGGTCTGTGTCATTGTGGACCGTTGGCTAAGGTTTTTATTGGTACCAGAACAAGGCAAGAGGTTTTGCATATTAGTGGAACCATGTCCTGGTTTATACTATGTTATGTAAGAAGTACTCTGCACATGCCTTCAAGAGCCTAGGGTTGATAACATCTGGACCTGGTGTCTTATTGCAATTTAGTTTCTCCCATTTCCTCTTTACTTCAGGTGGAAGGTGGATGGAACAACACCAGCTTGTGATTTGGTTTAGAACCAGAAGCTTATGTTTCATTAGCTTCAGCTGAAGAAAGATATACAAAACTACTAAAGAAGTTGTTTTTTAAGGCTTAGGAACTGGTTCCTGAATATTACAGGCAACAACTTAGGAACTGCAGGAAGGCTGAAAAACAGACAAATATAGATCTGGTCAGAGAACTAAACACCATTTTTTTTCACTGGTTATGACCTAAAGGTGTGAATGATTTTGAATCCCTTTGTGATTTGATGTTGTTGGAGCAATTCAAGAACATTATTCCAGATCGTGATTAATGTATGTCAATGAACAGAAATTAAAAACTCCTGCTAAAGCTTCTATGTTCTAACCCATAAAGCTGTGATGGATTATAATTTGAGAGGTGGCTATAGCTTTAAGGAATCCCTTCAGGACTGGTTCTCTGGTAAAACTAGATTTGAACCTACACTGAAGTTTAAAGTAGACTCAGTGTCACCAGAAGGGACAAAAATGAGTGTCTTTGGAATAGCAAAACCAAATCAGGTAGGAGTAAACAAGATCCTCAAAAACCTGAGGCTTTAACAAGTGTTTCACAGTTCCATTCTGTGGAGTCTACACTTCCAGCTAAAGTTGAAAGTGTAAGACCAACTGATTCAGCTGCACCTGTGGACTTTAAGTCACAGCTGTCAGAACTAATTGATACAGATCCCCAGATTTTTTAGAACAATGTCTGACAAGACTATGGTCCTTACATCACAAATGGATTTGTTTCTTTTAGTGGCAGTCCAAATTAAGTGGCTGTGAAGATTCTGCATGACACCAGAGCGTCTGAATCCTTCATATTGGAATCTGTTTTGCCATTTTCTCCATTGTCTGATACTGGCTGTAGTGTCTTAATTAGAGGTATTGGGTTGGAAACTTTCTCTGTGCCTCTCCATAAGATCTACTTGCAGTCAGAACTGGTGCAAGGAGAAGTAACTATAGGTGGTTGTCCTTCTTTGCCTGTGGAAGGTGTCTCTCTCATTTTAGGAAACAATCTGGCAGGTTGAGGTGTGTGGCGAGATGTTTTACCTCCACGTCTGAAAAAAGATGTTGCTTATTTTGTGAAAACCTTACTCCCTTGCCAGTTAACAGGGAAACCTAATCAGAACTTGAAACCAGCTCCACTTTTCCCCCATATCTGCTGCTGGTAAACTTTTTGAACACTTGATCATAGACTGTGTTGGCCCACTGAGTGCTTCAAAGTTAGGATCTATGTATTTACTGACAGTAATATGTAAACGCACTCGTGATCCTGCAGCATATGTTCCAAAATCCAATACAACACAATCAGTGTTGCGATGTCGAAACTATAAAAGGCCGCCCAGAATGGATTGAAGGTGGGGGAATTAACTGAGAGGAGACGATGCATTGCTGAATGTATGAAGTTTTAAGACAGCTGTATGAATTCGGTTTTGTAAATAAATGTTCCCCCCTCCGTGTGACAGAATGATGTCAATCGTCAGCCTTCTTTCTGTCATAAGAGAATTCTACCAATGAGCTTCCACAATAGATTCTGTACTGATTACAGAAAATTGAAAAGCATTACAAAACCTGACTCCTACCTACTGCCTCAGATGGAAGATTGTGTGGATCATGCTGGAACAAAGTATGTGAGTAAATTTGATTTGCTCAAATGTTACTATCAAGTACCCTTTTCTGCTCGAGCTGAAGAGTACCACCTGGATTATACACTGTAATGAGTTTTGGTCTTAGAAATGCACCTGCCACTTTCCAGCGGTTGATGAATCAAGTCATGGCTCGGTCTACTTAGATGATGCAGTGGTATTCGTGACAAATCGGATGAAGACATGCAACGCATCTGGAAGTTGTTTCAGTTTCTTCAGGATGCTCTCTTAACTGTGAACTTAGCAAAATGTGAGTTTGCAAGAAGTAAGATATATGTATAAGTCGTGAAAGAAAAAATCTGAAAGCCTGTCAGTTGAAGAAAGACTAAAATGTACTAAAATAACTGACAGAAGCAGAATGGGGGATATAAGTTATTACAATCAGTATAATGATTATATAAATATCCTGAATCACAGCTCATCTCAATTCTTCTTCCTTTTCTGTATAATAAAAGGACGATCAAACACTGAAACAAATTCCTTATTTATCAGCAAATGATCGGAAAAAGTCAAATATTAAGTCTAATCAGTCCACCTTACAGTCCTAAACACGCACCACCCACAGTCAACGTCAGCTGTCCTGAAATCTCAAATCTTAGAAAGCATTCCTGGGATGATAATGGTTTAGACCACCCCCACAGTGGAGGATAATTCAGGGGTTTCACTTTATATAAAGATAATTAAAATGCAGAAAATTTTCATTGAAGATATGATGCATGGTTAATATGCAACGCCTAAATAACCTGTATAATGAGAGCTGCTATTCAATCAAACTCCCCTTTGGGAATAACATTCCTCATGATTTTAGGTGCTTGGAATATTTAAGAACAGACAGATGCAATAGTGATAACCAAGTAACAGGTGATAGTCACTACGGCATATGATTTTTTTTTTTTACTCTTCAAATTTTGGCTTTTGTGTATTTGGGCTACTAAGGGTTTCATTTTGAAAGCCTTTGACGTGTTAAATATGAGGAAGTCAGAGAAGAGGCAACCATTTAAGAAATTCCTAAAATTATTGGGGAAAGGGCCCCCCAAAACAAATATTCATTATTATATACAATCCCCCTAAACAGTTAGTGTCAGCATTAAGTGAACTTTAATGCATGTGGAAGCTGTTTATGTGGGAACATTAAGATTCATCCACAGTCATACTTGGAAAAATCAAGTTAATTGGCCTTCATTGATCACACACAGACTAGTGCACTGGAAAATTATTATTTGCAAATCAATATTTTGTTAACTGTATTTCTGCTTCTTTAGAAGACTAACTGCCCATTCAACTTATAACTTCTTATAACCTTCAGTACATACAGAAAATGGGGAAGAATCAACTTTAACAAACTACAACAGCACCTGAACCTGTAAAGCTTCATTTTCAGAAAATAGTGAAAGCTTCAGCTGATGTTTTACTGCCAATGTTTTATTTTAATTCTAATTTAATATATACATTGTAGCACATGTGGCATATTTTAAAATGACCGTTATCTAAATGCTTTTGCATGTCTCTCTTGGAATCAGAAAAAACCTTTTGGCATAAGGTAATCAAAATTTTGGGGGGAAAAAGGAAAAATCACTAAAGCTCTCTACCATTTTTCTCACATTTCAACCATAAACTACAACATATTTTAATCAGGGTTTAATTAACAGATCAGACCAATAGTAATTGTGAATTAGAGGGGCAACAAACTGTTCAAACTCACATATATTTTGACATTTTGAAAGTGTCAGTTAAGTAAATAAAATCCTTTGCAACTAGTTGCTTCACAAGTCAGCTAACAAGTTGATAAGAGTCCACCTCAGTCTAATTTAGTTTAAGTACATATCCAGTCTCATTTAAACACATGAAAGCCTTGCAAAAACATTAATGAATAAACATTATCACTAGATTAAAAAAAAAACAAAAACAAAAAAAAAACAGACAAGACAGATCAAGGATCTTTCGAATCAGAAGGCAGCAAAACAAAGCTTTTCATATACATGTGTGGAAAACCTCATCCTGTAGATACCATTTCCACTGTGAAACATGGCGGTAGCAGTATGATGCTGTGGGGATGCTTTCATGTAAAACAGGTGCTCTTGTACCTCTTTTGGAACATTTTAAATTATGAAAAAGTAAGATGGATTTTTTTCCCCTAAAAGTAGCATCGCTACAGAAAAACATGGTGGTGGCAGTATTATTCTACTGTGAAGATTTTCTCATTGAGAGAAGCTGAGTACAGTTGATGGGAAGACAATGTAGCTCGATAATGCAAGAAGTGCAATACATTTCTTCATCCAATCTACCTGTGGTTGGGCTTTATTTATTTATTTTGCAAAGAAAATGTAGTATTTTTGCCCAATTCAAATTAAGAAATGTTTCTGTGTGGAAATCCACAGTAGTTATTAGTTGAAACAGGACAAAATGCTTCAAATAATTTGATATTTTTTCCAAAGCACTGAGGGTTAAAGTTATATTTGAGAACTAAATCAGAATTATCTGCTTAAGTTCAGCAAACATGTTGTTTAGGATTGTGCAACTTTGGATTATGATCAGATCGACCTGTTTGAATAAGACGCTACCTTGTGTTAGGAGGGAAACATTTTTTTATTCTGTTGATGGGGGCAGAAACACTGATTTAATTACAAGCCTATTTTACAAATCAAACCCGTGGATAATCTGTTGCTGTTCGACTCACAAGGAATCAAACCCTGTGATAAGTTTCCCACCCAATGTGGCTTTAAACCTACCTTCTTCTTAGCGTTACAGTGGCAGCAGACTGTCCACAGATACTTTAGGGTCCTCCACAGGAGGATAATGAAGAGCCCCCCAAAGAAAGTGACCATGGAGGAGGCGAGGAAAGCCCACCACATGCGCTGCCCGCTGCTGTCACAGGGCACGTCGGGCGAGAACGGGATCACCAGACTGCGGAACGATTGGTCTCCTTTCTTCGCCATCATGGACTTCTGTTCACATGCAGACCCCTTAAAGCAAACAGTTGAAGTCAAACAGAGAGATTCAGGCGCGTCGGGCAGCTCCAGCCAGCGCCCCCTGATGCCACAGCGGCTCAGGCATGTTGAAGCACCGCTCCGGTCCCTACTACCTCCGATACGAGGACTGTTTAAAGATAGATGAAATACAGAGACCGGGAATAATAAGAATAATTATAAAAAATAAAAATAAAAAACTTCTGAAAACAAGGTGCGCCTCACGATGCGCGTTCGCGGCTGGAGTTGCGCGTCATCCGTGTGATCTGTGCGTAAAAATCACATTATGTACAAGCTCCAGAAAGCATAAAGTCCTTCCTGTATTCATTATCCGTTTCTTAATGTCACTGATTAATAAAAGAAATGCAGCTGTGCCCTCTTCCACCGATGATTCACTCACTCCTCCACCTACGGCGCAGCTTTCAGCCGATCCTCGGCTGCGCGCTGTTCAATGCGCTCCTCCAATTATTCAAAAAGGTGAAAATCTAAATCATACGGCAGAAAAAATACAACATCCATCGTTATTTTTTCTTCTTTTCTTCTGGCAGTCTGTCTCATCCATTTGTTGGAAGATGGCATCGCAGATTTACAGGTAGCAGGAGAGGGGGAGGAGCCTTCAACAGCAGACGTAGATGTTCCAGTTATTTATAGGGAGCGATTCATCAATGTTTTATGACTAACTTTGGGGCCTACAGACAGTAAATCAAAACATCTTCATCACCTGTAGCTATAAAACATTTCTAAGTCTGCATACTTTTAAAAATCCTTTAAACGCATTTTAAAACCTAAAATATAAAAGGGATTATTTTTCAGTGGCGCCACCAAGGGGGACCCGGGTAGGGCAATGGCCACCCACCCTAAAAACTTATTCTATACCTTTTTTCCCCACGTTATACTTATTACAGTTAATCTAATTCAGACCAGAAGAAAAATAAGTTTATCAAAAAATTAGATAATTAGGCCACTTTCAAAGCAACCAAAGTTTTACACAGGAATTTGTGAATAAATCCACACCAACAATCCGCGTACCTTGGAGCCATTATCAAATAAATTAACAGGAATATTTTAAATGTACCATTCAGTAATAAAACTATATCATGAGTTAATCTGAGTAGTTATATTGAAATTTAAACTAGTAAATCATTTTCTAATTTGGGAAGATGGAGAAAATGCTTTTTGCTCTAGGCAAAGCAAAAACATCTTTAGGTGGAAAATTAAGTTTGAGTTTTCAAAATGATGCATGCCAACAAAAACAAAGAAAAGCCAGTTTAAATAAAGCCTGGATTTATTTTTTATTATTATTTTTAATTGGACCAAAAATTTTTATTTCAGCCATAGCCAAACCTTGACGATCAATAACAAATTGTTCAGGGGGTGTCCCCTTTTGCTATGTTTACTAGATGATCAGATTAAAACCAATAATGCAGCAAATGACAGGTATTACAACATTTCAAAGTTTTCCACTTAACTTCCATTATTATGTTGTCCTTTAATCTCCTTATAGACGTCCTTAGACTATCTGCTGAACAACCTTCCATAGCTAAACTTTCCCTTCTTAAAAATAATTTTTCTGCAGGACTGATTTTAGAGTTTTTATTAGCTGTGCTCTCTGTAATGAATCTAAAAAACGTTAAGTTTCACTATTAATCAAATTACAGAAGTTTGTTTTTGATAATATTCTGTTATTTAATTAAAGGCTTGCATGTGCCTTCATTGAGGAAAACACACGTTTAGAACCGGCACCCTTTTTTTTTTTTCCTTTAGGAGATTCACTGAAAGTACACTGTATTTATGCACAGTAAACACCTGTAGTAAAGTGGGGTAAGGTGCTCCCTCTGGTGGGCAATCATTTAACGGTTTCATGAAAAGGCCCCTTGAGTTAATCAAATAATAAAACAGACATTATAGTAAAACTACAGAATACTTGTGGTTTGTCAATCATATTTTAATATTTTTAAGGAAAGGTAAACCTTTAACTTCTCTTAATTTTTTATCTAAAAGAAAAAAATGTGGCAGGATCACATGAATGTGTTTAACAGAAACCCATCTATAAATTCAAAATAAAAATAGTCCCTTCTTTGCATTTAAATTTGACAAGAAATATATATATATATTGGTAGAATCAGAAGGACACAAGAAGAAATAAATTGTTCAGTCTTTTCGAGACAAACAAATAAAATCTGGCCTGGCACAATGTTTTTTCACGACAAATTAAAGGGGGGGATCTTTAAAAAGGAAGAAATGTTTCCTATACAAAAAAACAATAACAAATAGAAAATATTCTTAATGATTAAAAAATGTGGTTAGATAAATAAAATGAGAGGAAAATGCATATAAATACAGAGAAGGAAATGAACATTACAGTCTAGTCTATCACTTCAGGAATACCTTCCTCACTCTGGTCCAAAATATTTATGGTCAGAATAAGAAATCAGGAGTGCTACCAGAACAGAGGAAGGACAGAACATTCAAGTATCAAATACTACTGTAAACAAATCTATTTGCTGCACAGTACATCACTAATGTAGTGGGAATATTGCATTTTTTTTTTTTTACCATCATCAATCTTGATGTTTTTAAAAGCAAGTAAGCTGTGAACCCTAACGGATGTTTATAGTGTACCTTCTGTTAAACAAATGCTACATAAATGTGAGATCTAGATGTAATCTCTATGGTGCGCGATCTGGAATCCAGAGGACTTTGTTCTGCTCGTGCTCCACGATGGTCAGAATCTGAGTGCAGATGGAGGAAACACTGCCTCCTTGGACAACTCCTGCAACACAGTGAGGGGTAGGGGAGGAATATTTACATAATGAGCATCCAAGTCAAATGTGGCGTCTTTCATGTTACAGTTTCAAAGTAAAAGTAAGTATGACTAATAATAATAATATTTGAACTTTATTGATGTCACATTTGAAAAATATAACTCTACATTTAACCTGTCCCCTTGGGGAGCAGTGGGCTGCCATTGTACGGCACCCATGGTGCAGTCAGGGGTTAAGGGTCATGCTCAGGGACCCAGAGTGGCAGTCTGTGGGAGTGGGGCTCAAACTCACAACCCCAGGATTCCAAGCTCTATGACCAAACCACTAGGCCACCACTCCCTAGTATGAGTTGGTAACCTTCAGTTTCCGTATGATTCCTTTATAAGAATTTTTCCAGTTTTTAATGAAAATGAAAGTAGCTTGCAACCTTTAATTCAGTTTCAATTGAGTTTATGCATCTATAACACCAATTCAAACATGTCATCTCAATGCACTTTACAGAGACAGTACAGTCAGATTGGTTGAAAGTTTCTGTCTAAGGAAACCAGCTGATCGCATCAAAAACCTTTAAATATTCTGATTGACAGCAACAAATCTCAGTCCACTGAGTTTGGAGGTGGAAGTTCATACTTTAGAAGAAAAAAACTCTAAAATTAAAAACTGAGTAAAAAAAAATAAAATAAAATAAATAAAAAAGTTGGCCCTCAGGTTAAGATGTCTAAAAAAATATTCAGCAAATCCAGTTTTAAAAGCAGAAGCATGATTGCAAACGAAAAATGCTTTTCTTTTTAATTTAACCTTTTGATTCAGTAGGAACTCTTTTTTTCCTTTTCTTTAAGCTGATCAGCGTCTACGGGACCTTTTTGTTCCTGTGTTACTGGGAAAAACACACACCCTAAAACACTGATGGTAATTTCTTTTATCCACTTGTTCCTAGGCTGGGTAAGTTCCTTAGTTTATCTTAGAGGCACAAGGATGGGTAAGGAGGTCAAAAAGTATAAATATACACATGTGATTTGCTAAATGGCACCGGAACGAGAACCATAATCACACACTGTGCCTTGAATACAATTTTGTTAAAACAGTTATTTCTTAAAATATGACTCTTCCTTCAACTCAGTTTTTTTTATGGCTTTTTACACAACTTTACCAGAAGATTCTTCACATTTTTCTATTTGGTTAATATTACCAATACAATTTAGAGTCCTAAAATGCATTTCAATCTAATTCATTAGGCATAAAGCTAGGTTCATGTCATATTAACCCATCTAAATCACAAAATATATGTTTGCTTGTATATATTCTTCTTCTTGTATATATTCTTCCCTGTATTGTTAGATCACCCCACGCACTAATAGGAACTATGATGCTTTCTCCATAAAGACTAAACAGTATTTCTACAGGTGGCAGGAATAAACATATAAACAACTTAGCAGTAAATATATATATTTTTAACACTAAAAGAAAATAAGGAATGTATAAAGTCCCTAATATAAGTGAACCTGGAGATCACTTCGTATTCACATTTAAAGTAAGCCCACACCAGAGATCCCCATATCCTTAAATATTTTAATCAAGCCAGCCTGTTTTGGTAAGAATTCACATAAAGTATGATCAATATTCATAAACAAGTCCATTACAGTCTCACCACAACAGACATCAATTTTATTTTATGTGTAAATATGTTTGAAAATAATCACGACTTTATTGGAAAGCTAAAAACTTGACAAATTATTCAGGAAAAGAAAAAGTTCCTATGGTGAACTTTAATATCTTTTTTTAACTCTCTTTCCATGCTGCTCTCTCTTTACTCCCACTGCTAAGATGAGATCACCATACTTATTTTGTACTTTAATTGAAAGCTCTCTTGTCTTTCATATTTTTAAAGAGTGGCTAAAACGTCATATCTATACAGCTAACTGCAGTTCCTGGAGAATCAATGCTTTACATTTTTAATTAACAGCCAAAAAGGTTTTCTAGTTTCCAGCGATGTGGGAGTTTGGAGTCAAAATAATTGAAGCTCTAATGTTTGGAGTTTACAGGAACAGGTTCGCTTTTAGCTTTACCTCAATTATCTCTACTGGCTTTTAAAACTGTGGTTTCTGCTGTTCTTTTTGAGAAAATTGGCAATTAATCAGTTTCCCGGTTGAAAGAATCGGTGATGGTGCGTTTCTTGCCAAATCCCTCTTCATAAAGTCATTAATCATCTGGACAGTTGTGTGTTTCAGACTGTCTGCTGCCCTAGATAATAAAAATATATATATATCTTTGACCCCCATCAGATGAGGAAGACGAGCATTTCTTAGATTAACCAACCTGTGAAGAACCGGCTGTACTCCTGCTCCATTTTCTGTGCTGCTTCAAATTGCTCCTTGGAATGTTTCTGTGAGAGTTTATCCCGCAGGTAGAGAGGATCCTTCTGCTCCCTGACGAGAAAATATACACAAACTGTTCACCATATATCTATAAATAGCTGCAGAAACAGTGCAGAACATAAAAAAAACAGCAATCTTTAAAACCACAAATATTTTTTCTAACGACTGAATTTTAATTGCTAAAGAGAAGCCACACCACAGCATTATGCTGCCACCATCATGTTATGCAGTGAGTATCAACTAAGCAGAGCATCTTGCAATATAAGTTCAGTGTCCCTATATGACTTGTGACAAAATGAAAATCAGACATTTTTTAAGCAGTGGCTTTTTCCTTGCCATTCTTCCACACAACCCATACTGATGGCTTAGACAGCACTTTTCCCATCAACAGATTCTCCTACTTTACGCGTGCAGCTCCTCCAGAAAGGCAATAAGCCTCTTGTCTGAACTCGTAGTTTATCTGGGTTTTAATGGAAGATGTTTGAATAAACAGAACTGAAAGTGAATGCATTATGGAGCATTTCTGCCTGATGTCGAGCATTGGAAAATACACTGCTGAAAAAAATAAAGGGAACACTCAAACACACCCACGATCTGAATGAAAATATTTATTAAATTATTGTCTTTGTATACTTTGTTCTGTATAGAGTAGAATGTGCTGACAACACAAATCACATTTATTAACCAACGGAGGCCTGGATTTGGAGTCACACACAAAATAAAGTAAAAAAAAAACAAACCAAAAAAAAACTCAATACAGACTGATCCAACTTTGATGTAAAGTCCTTAAAACAAGTCCAAATGAGGCTCAGCACAGTGTGTGGTCATACATGTGCCTGTATGAACTCCATATATGGCCTGGGCATCATCCTGATGAGGTGGTGGACGGTCCCCTGAGGGAACTTCTCCCAGACCTGGACTAAACCACCCACCAGTTGGACATGCTACCACAAGTGGGAGGCACCACTAACATTGATTCAAAAGAGACTAAAACATCAGTCAGAAAGCATAGCTACTGAGAAGTGGTCTGTGATCCCCACCCGCAAAACTGCTCCTTTATTGAGTTTGTCTTGCTAATTGCCAACTATTTTCACTTGTTGTCTATTCCATTTGCCCAACAGCATGTGAAATTGATTGTTAATGAGTGTTGCTTCCTAAAAGCCCCCGTCACACCTTGATGATTTAGGCTACGTTCCCACTGCAGCCCTAAATGCTCAATTCCGATTTTGTTGCGCTGCCGTTCACTTTTCCAAATATATGCGACTTGTATGTGATCTCCTGTGTGAACTGCAGTCATACAACGCAAGTGTCCCAAATGCGCAGTAGAGGAAGCAATGACGTCACAAGTCAGCATGCTCTGTGTTTACAGAAGTAAACATGGATGGTAGTGCAGGTGCGCATCTAGCGAACTTTTCCAACCATAAAAACACAATCTTTTCAATATGGTTAAACAAAAATACTGCTCTCCGCATTATCCTCTGGCATGGTTATTGTTTTCTTGCTGCTTCTTCATAGCAAGACCCAGAATAGTGACTTTTGTTGGGTATTAATGGTGTTCAGGTCGGATAAATGCGACCTGGCCGTTCACACACAGGTCACATTTGAAAAGATCAGATTTATATCGGATTCAGGACCACATAGCCAAGTGGTCTGGGTCGCATTGAGAGAGAGAAAAAAAATAAATAAATAAATAAAAAAATCAGATCTGTGTTTGCCATGAAAAGATCAGATACAGGTCGCATATGGGTCAAAAAAATCGGATTTGGGTCACTTCAGGCTGCAGTGTGAACTGAGCCTTAGACAGTGTATGCCTGACGTACAAAAAATCTGGCAAAAACGTGGGCATACATTGGATAAGTTGTGTTGTGTGTAATGTGTGTATATGTGTATATAAGTTATGAGCACATTGAAGCACGTGGATATACGGCAAGTACGTCAAGAAATTTTGAGCATTTCTTGACATACCAGCATATGCCATACATGGGGCATAAGTTACAAGTAAGTCATGTGATCGTTGACATACGTTAAGTGTACGTTACTCATAAGTCATGGAGTCCAGCTTGTCCAGAAGCTATGAGTAACTTGTGCATAATTTATGCGCAACTTATCAAGAACTTATCTCCAACGCATACTAATGTATTAACCGTGTTCCAGACGACCGCTGAACGTGATTCTAACGTACAGCTACTGTATAATGGCATATTGGCAGCGTTTGGTATAGAAAGGGGGTTTCACAGGAGGAAACTGTTAGTTCTCCTCCAGACTGCATTGCCATCGTAGGGTGAGCATGAAGGTGAGTATGATGGATCCTCCCTGTGTTCACACCCACGACCGACAAACGTCCTAGTAGACATGAAGCTGCATCTGCTGTGACTGCACACCTTCTTTCTTTAGAAATTGTACTTTTTGGCGGGTAATAAACAGCAGCTAGGTTTATACCTCGATCAAAGAAATATTTTTATGCAGGCCAGGCTCCTCCTGGCACACTGTTGCCCCCTGAGGACACTGGTTAGTGCATCATTTCATGGGCTTTATGCTGCCTTGCGTTATGCACAAGTTAGGCTGCCGTTGGACAGAAGTTCTGGACTCGCTATGAATACGTTATGTATACGCACAACATTGAAAAAAATACATAGAAAGCTCAGTGTATGCCAGCGTTTTATGAGATTCTGGGATATCAGGCATAAGCTGACTAAATCATCAAGGTGTAACAAGGGTTTAAGTGGACAGTTTGATTTCACAGAGGTTTGATTTGATTGAAGTTATATTGTGTCGTTTTCGTGTTCCCTTTTTTTTTTTGAGCAGTGTAATTTAGTGCAAGAATCTGGAAAAAAGCTTTCTTTAAAGCAATGTCACCAGATTCAATTAGTGTTGATTACTCCAAAATCAAGGACTTACATCCTAGATAAAAAAAAACTGTAATATCTCAATTGAAATAACTGATAACCTGAAACATTCCCAAGAGTTGATTTTATCTCTTTTCTGTCTGGGTAAAAAATAAAAATAAAAAACATCAAAACATTTATCAACATCAACTCTAAAATACTAAAAACTTTTTTATCATTATATTAATTCTCTCAAGAAGCATTTCTGGCCATTTTCTTGTGAAACATTGAATAACGGACCTTATCTCAACTAAAGCTCCTTTTCTATCAAGCCGTGTTGTGAGCTTGGTCTACTGTCGCCTCCCTGACTATAAGGTCACATTGAAAACCTCAAGCTTTTGTCAGCTGCTCTAAAAGGTCCAGGTGGGGGCCACGCTTCTGTGGAAATTACAGCCACCCACGCAACATGCTCCAGGAGGCCCCTGCCAGGACAGCTGGCACTCAGCTGATGACATTGAAGGCTTAGCAGGAATCAATCTCGGCCACGTTTGACTGCTGCACACCCTCATAAATCTAAGGCCTTCTGTGTGTGTGGGGGGGGGTAGAGGCCTTGAAAGCATGTTGCTGTCCAACCTAAGCTTGTCCTCATTTGTGTCTGTGCTTATGCCTTTGTGTGCAAAAATAACATGCCGGGAGTTCAACAGATTTAATCTTTCCATGCGATTATAAAAATTAAAAACAAAGAGGCTTCTTTAAAACATTCTCAGCTGATCAAATCTGAAGCCGGTGGAAGACATAGATATGGCTATGGGTCAGTTAGGAATACAGCAACTTCCAAATATATTCTCACCTTTTAAACTTTTCTTTAAACCTTAGAAATTATTTGTCACTTTTTGTTAGTATTATAAATTCCAAATCAAGTGCAATGAAGGGGAAACCTTCAAATTTTCAATTAATTCCCTTTTTACAAATCATCTTTACATATATAAACAACTGAAAAACAATATTTTTTTCAATTGTTGACAAAAGCTAACATGATTTAGTCTTTTAAATTAAACTCTAATAAATTACATTGTAATGAAAAAGTATGGTTACTGCAAGTCTGTCTCATTTAAAAGCAACATGGATTTGAATAAAAATACAGCAAGACTTATCCAAATTATTATTTCTCAAGACAATTATCTTGAAGAAAACAAAATAAAAAAAGAAATTGTATCAATTTAAACCAAAAAATAGGAATAATGCAGATTTTTCTCTGAATAAATTAGCAAGTCATTCTACCATCAATTACCCAAAGACAAGCTATTTAGACTAAACTCAGTTCATGAACTGAACTTGAATAATAATGAGTAAACAGCAGCTGCAACAGAAATACAAATCAGGCTCGATAAGGAGCAGACAAATCTTCATGCAAGAAGATCTGTGGCTGCGGGACTACTCACTTTATTTGCTTTGCGTTTTTGTAGCGAATGAATATGACGATTGGGTAGATGTGAACGCTGTGAAGACGTTCGATGGCGTAAGGAGCAATGTCAAGTAAGCAGTGACAGTCCTATGAGAGAATGAAAGCAAAGAATTGGATGAGGAATGGAGGATGGTGAAAATAAAATGCTGGTAAACATTCAGCTAAAGAATGTGGGCAGCTAGACCTGTTGGAAATGTGCTATATGAATAAATATGACCTTAATTTTATTGATTTGTTAACTTGGGAGAGCAAAATAGAAGAAAAAATAGGAATTTTAAACATACTTACTTCCCTGCAAAAGGATATGCCACTAACTAGTTTACACTTCGTAAAAATGAAAATATACCAATGGTAAGAATATACTACGAGCTAAAAATGAAGCTAAGAGTTGTTCTTACTGACTCAAAAGGGCTTTCAGTTTTTCATTTGTAAAATGGCTTAAAATTTAAATAAAATATAGTTTGTGGCTGTAACATAAAAGATGAAAAAGATAAAGAAGTGGGTATACTTCTGCCAGACATTGAGTGACTTTCATTTGAAATAGAAATCAAGTTATTTGGACAGTTTTTTCATAATTCAATAACGCTAAAGATTATGAGATTATGGATCAGCATGTATAATAATAGTTCCACTTTGATAAAGTACTTCATTTTCTAACCATCATTAGATGACTGTAGATGCATTAATCAAGCAACACTACTAACAAGAAATGCAATATCAGATTTTGTATCAGACTGTCATCTGAAGCATCTACTGTAAGTCAAAGTTACCCTACCGCTGGCATGCAGCAGAATATTTTACCTTCTCTATGATCTCCTTTATTGATGCAACAGTTGTCACATCAAAATGGCCGCTCCTCCGTTTGTAATCGATGAACACACAATCCTTTACTCCTCTCTCTATTGCCTGCTGTGATGCCTTCATGATTTCTAAATTTGAAAATGATAAAAAAAAAATAAAAAAACATAATAAATCAACACTATGTGAACTATATTTGGGTTCCTTTCTCACCAGGCAGGCAGCGGCAGAAGTTAGCAGGAGCCTCTGTTACAAGTAGGTCTTTGCACGCCTCTACTAATGGACCTAAAATCAGCACAGGTCTGGGAGACGAGCAATCCACCTTCTGAACCCGTTGGTACATTAGGTTCCCTCCATCTGAGCAAGAGATAAAGAAATGAGCTGAATACTGACACAGCTGCATGTAACAACTACAGGGATGGACTATTTACCCTGAGATGAATTTTGTGAGGCTAGGAGTATTTATTTAGCTATGTTCTGTTTTGTAGGCTCAAACTGACATTCCTGACTTCTCTGCGACTGGCATAGTGCAAAAATACCAAGAATGCTTTTTCACTGTATTTCAGGATAGGAATGTGGCAATAAAAACAGAGACAAAGATGTAGGTTCAAAAAAACTGATCATTCAATATTTCACAGGAGACCTTTACAGTGATGATTAGCTACTTTCTGCTGGTCTATTAAATAAAGTTGTCAAGACAAAATTTAAAATGGTTCAAGAGCCATTCACAATGTGTTCAGTTAAAGTTGGTCATTGATAATGTATGATTTGAAGTCAGCTATGAAGCTATCTGGGGTAAAAGAATTCTCACCTTCTGGGATGGGTAGAGAATCTGTGCTTAAGTTGTCAAGAGCCATCAGTTCCTTCCCATCCTTAGAGCCGTTACGTTTGTTCTTCAGCCTCCGACGGAAGAAGGACCTCCGAGCAGCAGCAGACATGGACTTACTAGTTCCATTCTCATCTTTCATATCAGCCATTCCATGTCTTCTGTAAAACTCCTGATCCATCCTTAAAGACATATCGAAGTGCAGATTAACTCAAATCCATCCAAAACATGCTTTGTAACCGAAACCAACTTCTAGAGGCGAATGTTTGAAATTGTATAATTTCTGACCCTCAGTGTTTTTTTTTGCAGCCAGCATTACCAACACAGGATCTGAACCTTGTCCCTGAAACTGATTATCCATCGAATGCATTTGTCAAGATAAAGGTGGCATGAGTGTTTATTGTTTATACATTTAGCAGAGTGTACCAAGATGTTAACCCAACTTGTGGAAAGTGGAAATGTCCACCTGGTACCTTTCTTCATATATTGGTTGTGTCCGACATTGGCAAATTTTTGGAATTATGTTTTTTTTAACCTTATATCTGACATTATGCAGCATCAAATACATTTTTTCTTAATATATATATATATATATATATATATATATATATACTATGAGACTGCTTTATACATCAAAAAATGCAGTTTTAATATAGCTTATAATATAAACTTACTGTGAGATGGGATATTAGACTATGCCTTTTCTCAGCCAATTAGAAGAAACCTTGAACCTGTCTCTGCTGGAAGTTATGTGGGGAGTTGGAATTGAGATGGCAGAGAGCGGTTGCCTCCCAACTCTAGACAAGGGTGAAATATAGATACATGCCCCTCAAGGTCTTTAAGACTCCCTAATGCCATGAATGGAAGAGGCAGCTGCTTTGAAATGTTTTTAACTGACTAGTGAAAACTGTATATCTTGGATGAATTCAAAGTTGTTTCTCTTGGGAAAACCCAATGTTCGTGTGTGAGAATTCTCTTTATATGCAGGGGTGGGAAACAAACCCGCCAGAGCCTCATTAACAGTTCAACTGCGTGTTGTTCTCCTCTGCAGAGTAAAATAAAACTAATTGTTCCTTGCATATCAACTCTCAGCGCTTATTTTACTTCCCATTAATAGGGCCTAAAAGCAGAAGTCATTCTATTTACTTCTTGACGAGACAAGAGAATTTTTTTTCAAATAATAAATTCAATATAGTTAGTTGATTCAAAAACCTGAAAATTGACTTAAAAAGAAATGAAATATTTAGGTGAACTTACATGTATTTGCTTGGGATCTGTCCTTTCCCCAGTCGCTGTGCATTTTCATCGAGCTGCCAGGCCATCCAGTAGCCAAAGTTACCATTTGGTAGCGTGTCTTCAACATATAGGATGTCATCCTTTTTAAAGCTCAGCTCCTGCTCTGCTTCTGCAACCCGTTCATAAAGTGCTCTGACAAAATATAAGCAGGTTAAAAACATTGTTTATTGCTCATTGGGAAAGGAAACTTTGAACAGTAGAACAGATTAAATGTTTAAGTATTAATAACATAAAAAAACAGATGCGTAATATATCTGCATTTATTTATAGACTCCTAATGATTTCACTTTCAAAGCAGAATTATTCTGCTTTATTTAATAGGACTCACAAATATTTAACAACACAAATAAAATAAAAAAAAACTTCTAAGCACCTAATGAAAAATCCGTCTCCTTGTGATGCTTTGATGTCAGCCAGGCTGTCCACACAGTTCTGGACCTTGAACATGACCGTTTCAGTTGGTTTCAACATTTCCAGGTAAGCATCTTCTTTAGTTTTATTCTTCATGCTGATCCCATTGTACTGAAAGAAATCAATTGTTCAACTGACAAATAGGACACATTGCTGCCAGGGACAAAGAACAATGCAGTTTACAGTAAAATCTATCAGAATGCTCAGAGCAGATATGACTATAAAGGATGCTTTTTCAGCTAAACCAAAGCTTACAACTAAATTGTTGCCAAAATGTTTTCTTACTTTGAGTATACAAGATATTTTCTCTGCAAAAGTGATTCTTTACACATAACAAACACTGATAATCTATGCTGATACCTCCAGTATTAGGTCTCCAGGTAGCAGACCATCAGGACCCTTTAATGGGCTTTCATCATCCAGCATCTCCAAAAAGATACCACAAATGTTTCCCCCACAGATCTGCAACCCCAGCTCTGCATCAATCCTCTTCAGCCTTACCAGGCGAGGCTCTGCAGCTCGCAGTAAAAGCGAGCCTGGAACTCTGCAGAAATAAACAACAGTTAAAACCTATTAGGATATCAAAACAAAACCTGCAGGTTAACTGGCTTTAGAAATGTACCTGTAAAAATAGTTATATTACAAAAACAAAAATCGAGACCTTTATATGCATGGAAAATAAATTGCTATCACCCTTTTAATTTTTACAAAGTAGATCATGTATTTCTCTGAAACAAAATCAGCGTTTAGCAGTCAGGGATTGGATAATATAAAATCCAAAAGTTGCAAAAATAATGCTGTTAACTGAAAGCTTAATTGTGAATCAACTACATTACTTTCACTGTTTTCTATGAGCACACTTTCCTCACTGCCAAGCCTTTTTTTGTAAATTGGTTAATAAATTGTTATGATGCACAGATTTAAATTGCAATGACAATTTTTTATAGGCATAGTGTGAGGGTTTGATTTTGAGTCAGGCACATTTAAAGGTATAGCCACAGCTAGCTTATAACAAAGAGGACAACCTGTTATAGTCTTCAAATAAAAAACTCTTTTCTCAATTAAACTATAACTGAAAACTTGGTATTCAAGGATGAAAAATTGAAAACATGAGGGATGAGGATGACAGATGTTTCATGTAACAGCTAATGGTGGCACCACCTCATCACCGTGGTAACTATGAGCTTAAAGTTTCTAATGTTAGATAATACATTGGTAAACTGATAATTATCTTCAATATTGGTTTTTGGATTGCAGTGTTTGTGATTGTTCCTTTCTTATATGGCAGACTGGGCTTAGCTAAGAGTGGTTTTAAATCTCTTGATAGGATACTGGTCACTTAGGTCTCCATGCAACTGTTCTCAGACTACATTTCACCCTGCTGGACTAATCACCTTACAAATTTTCACTTTATGAGCACAAATTTGAGGTCCATACTTTTACATCATTACAATCATGGGCTCAAAGGTATATCACTACCTAAAAGAGTTATGAGGACTTGTTGCAGGAGTTGTCTGCCTAGATGGAGGAGTCATTGTGCCGTCGTCCTGTTCGCTCAGTGGGTCGATGATGGCGTGATTGTCTGGGACTGTAGCTATGCCAGGAGATAGATGAGTGCTGATGGACTCCATCTGAGAACTAAGAAAAGTCGATGACACAATTATCCAAATATTACTGTGCAACATTTGGTCAATGCAGTATTTATTTCAGCTGTGCTGCCTCCTGTTTTTAACAAAATCCAGCATACCTTGATCTGGAGTTATTCCCCAACTGAAACATGTGAGGATTATATTGTGCCAAAATGGTAACCACGTCACACTGTTGTCCAATCACCAGCCGGGCCTGCTGTTCATTGGCGTTGCGAAGGTTGATTCCGTTAAACTGCAAAAACATTGTTTTATTAGTTATTAGAGACAAGTTGAAAAGAAAATAGAAAAAAATAAAGTTGTTGTAGAGTTTAAGCGTATTTGCAATACCTCCAGCAGCTGGTCTCCATACTCTAAATGTGCCTGGTGAGCGATACTCCCCAGTGTTACTTTGGAGACAAACACTCCTCCGTTCTCTCCACTTACAATAGAGATCCCAAGTGGTTCTGCTCCTTTTTGTACCGTCACATTGCGTGGCTCACCTAAAAATGGTCTTAACCAAGAAAAAACATAGGGAAGTTAGAAACTCACTAACCTGCACTGCTTTATTTATTCGCTACAAAAAAGCACCACAATATATATATATATATATTTTTTAAATGCAGAACAATGTAAGGGTGAAATATCATTAGCATTTTTAAAAGACACAGCTTCTCCAAGGACAGCGAGGAAAAAAAATGCTGTATAATTTACTGCTGATTTAGTAACTTTAAACTGAATAATATTGCCATTAAATTAAGTTTTAGTATTTTGTCTCATACTTCTGTATAAGACTGTTTGTATGAATATAAATAGACAGGATGATTAAGAGATGCTGACTGCATTCAGTTGTTTTTCTAAAGTTTTGCAGGTGATTTTATCAGGATCACCATGTCAACCTTTTACAACAAGCTCTATAAAAACTCTTCTGTACTGAATTTGAGGTTTCCAAGTTCTCTGAAATTCAGGTACTTACAAGCATTCTTGTAGATCCTGCAGTGACTCACTGTATTAATCCACAATGAAGGAGGCTTAACAAGGCAGACGCGTTAAATTGAAAGATTGAAAACTGGTTCATTTTTGCTATAAAAGTTAAATTGTTTGACAAGAACAAGATTTTAAGCAAACTATTAACAATTAAATGCAATTTCATTTCAGAAATAGCAACAATAATACGCTGGAGTTCCTTATCCTGGCATATATTGTCTATATCATCTTGCTGTATTAATAGCACCAGGATGAAAATTAAAGCCTGGTTTATACTCAGAAACAAGGTCATCTGCGTGTGTGGCAGTTAACGCAGATATGCCCCACCCCTTCCACAGACACTCTGGTGCTCCTCCCCAAAATTGTAAGTGACCGCAGACAGGGCCGCAGAAAGGAGGCCTGTGATTGGTCAAATCTACATCTGCTCTACACTATGCGCATTTCTTGTTTGGTACCTTACTGGCTGGTTTTGTTGGTATAACCGCCATAGTGGAAAACAAATTGTAAAGATGGACCAGCTAAAAGATCGAGGTGCATATACATATAGGTGCATATCTTTTCCTTGTGCATGTTTAAAAAAATAGTTTTATTTTATTTTTTTTTTTTTTTACCAGACACAAGTAGCTATACTTTTTTAGCATTACAACCACATAGTTTAGTTGTAGTTTTTCTTTTTTAAGAGATTGAATAGAGAAAGCAGTGCATCCTTTTAAAGTGGAAAGAAATATAGTTTACACTGAAAACCCAAATAAAATGGCTTCATACAATATGAGTAAATAGTAAACACCAATGAACACACAATGCAGGCCAAGAATACAACTGTGGAGAGATTTAAATCAGGCTTATTAAATAAAACAATATTATGCACTTTAAACAGCCCACGTTAGACTAAAATCTGTTATCTACAGAAGAACAGCCTCAAAAAAGATGGTTTGCTATAACTCATGTAGGAGACCTGGTGAGATGAAATAACTTGACTGTTTGGTCTGCATGCAGAATATGAAGGGTGAGGAAGAAGTACTGCTGAACACCCTGAGCAGAGCATTCTAACAGTAAGCATAATGCTAGCAGCACCATGCACTCTGCAGACATGCTTGTCTTCAGCAAGGAACAAGAAGAGCTTATTGGGAGATGGATGAAGGTAAACAGAAGAACCCAGGAAGCATATCTGTCATGCACTGGGATATTTTAGTCAAGAGTTGAAGCTGTAACAGCATGGAAAGTTGTTCACAAAATGATTGACTCCTGCTTTTTTTTTTAGATTTTTTACGGATCTGACAAAGAACAAAAAAAAACAAAAAACAGATGCATATGGTTGCAGATGAACAAAATATCTTTAAAGTGGAAGAGGTGAGAGTTATTTTGCAAGCTCCTATCTGTTGAATATCTTGCATTCCTCTGATGCAAAAAAACGTTCATTAAAAGCATTCATAGATGCCCATTTTTTAAATAAAATATTTAAACAATGTCACACAGCAAGATGGGTTTTAATTCAAACTCAGAGTAAAGTAGTCACACTGAATTTAAAAGCATTTTTATCAACCACAGAGCAGATTACATATAATGCCCTAAAGGGAAATGCATTCATTTAATTTCTGGGTTACATTAAAAATTTAAACGAACCATGCACAAGTGCTGTTAATGAGGGAAGACTATTGCATTTATTTGAATCATGCACTAAGATTAAGTGCAGAGACTCTTGTGCATTAACCGTTTGTGCCAAAAGTAGCCAGACAAACCTAAAGCTTCTTATACAGAGAAACCTGGCCTTCAATGGTGGACGTGTAACAGAAGGATAGGAAGAAACAAATCTGAGAAGCAGATGGGAAAAAAAAGTACATAAAGAATCAGTCCAAGGTGTTATAATACATAAGACATAGGCAGGAATACGGTTAGATGGTGAGTCAGTATGAGATGGATGACAAATGTTTATAGCACTGTGAGCACTTTATCACAAGAAGCAGACATGTAAAGGGAAAACATGTCATTCTCTCCTGAATGATGACAGGAGAAGAAGCCGGCTAGACTTTGACTTACCCATCCTTCCTCCTGTCACCAACAGGAGCAGGGCTGACTGATATCCTAGGATGGGAAGAAACCGAGCTCTGCGATTGGCTGCTGGAGAAAGAGGATGTTTCCAGGTTAACAGGAGACATCGGGGGCGTTGGGCTGCTACACTCTGAATGTGAAAGAGAGCCTGTAGTAACAGGAGACACGGAAATGCACATCATTTAAAATCAGCAGCTTTTAATAAGAGAAGATTAAGATTCACACTGGAAAGTACCTTTGTCTGAACCAGTAGAGCGAGAGTAATGGGCCAGAGGGATTTTTATACGTTCTGCTCTATACTGTAAAGTACCAGAGGAGCCTAAACAAAGATAAAACATTTTCAGAGGCCATTTAATACAATAAAAAATGTAGCTTTTTATTTGACACCACTGATGTCTAGCAATCTGGATATGAGGCTTTTATAACTAAACATAATAAGCTACTTTACCATCAGTAAGTGCAATTGAAATAAGTATCACAAAGTGTTGTGATAAACCTTTAACAACCATTTTATGAGAGCAGGATGGGTTAGAGGACACGACTTAACAGACTGACATACTGAATCATGCATATGGTTTTGAGTTGATGGATAAAACATTCAGGAAATAAAAGTGGGGGAAAAAAGTCCTGAAATGCATATATTTCCCCACAATCACAGTTCTTTTTTCATATTTTTCCACACTAAGAACCCTGTAAATAAACAAACATCGTCTCTTTACCTTAAAAGCCAATAAAGTCAGGAACAGATACTGGAAAAGTTATTTGAATTATCTACCATTAGGGTGACAGCATATCGCTTCCTGTTTTGGGAACATTTTAAGCTGGAAAAAAGATCAGAGCTAGGCCAGCATACGTACTCAGCCTGGCTCCAGAGGGCAAAGACTTGGTGCTGTGTTGTGGTTGGCTGTAGGTCGTCTCACTCAAGTGTCCATTGCGCTTGTGGCCAAAGTCCAAACTGAGAAGACCCTGATGCTGGGGGCTATAAATGGAGAAAGAGGCCTATGTTAAGTCCCCCAGTGGTCAATTATTCATCCCAGAGCGAGATAGAATTTGCTTCCTTCCATCTGCTCATGAAAACTGGGGCAGAGTGTACACTGTTGTTTTTGCATGCACCCAAACAAATTTGGGCCTTTGTTTAACCACACAACTTAAGCTAGAAACCTTATAGGACAACATTTTTAAACAAAGCGTCAACAATGAAAAGGAAAAGTGTTGAGATAATAAATGCACTAAATGCATTACCTTTGAGTATGTTGATCAAGGCCTGAACTAGGAACGGGAGGACAGTTCTGGATCTCATGGCTCCATGCTGTGTAAACTGGGTTCCTCATGACAGCAGTCATTGCAGGACATGGTGCTGCACGTCGCTGTGGCTGGTCTGGAGAAACACAGAAAGATGACAGCAGCTTTCAATTTCCTTAAGAATTAAGTGCATGAAAAAAATAAATAAGTAGCTCCACACAGAGAATCCACCACTCCTTTACAAGAAAAAAAATGAACCACTTAGGTTGTGCTGATAACTCACGTGGCACGAAGCTACCACGGCTCTGCGGGGCAAATGGCACCATGTACCGATTAGATCTCAAAGGAGAGAAGCGCAATAAATCCACCGGCTCAGGGGAGTGTTCATCATTAGAAAACGACTGAGTCTGCAAGAAGACAAAAAAGGCAAAGGAAACTTAAATATCTGCTCTAAATCAACACCAAAGTACAAAACATCCCCAACAAATGAAAAGTTACAAGGGCTTGGAGCAACCCTTAATAACTCATAACTCTTAACTTCTTTTGAGACACTAATTCCCATCAATTCCAACGTGTTTTATTGTTATTCTACTTAACATACACCATAAGTTTGATATGAACAAAAAAAATGCAGTATACATTTGAATTCAATCTGATTTACCACTTAGAAGAAAAACTGCAGTCTTTTGGGGTAGATCATTAGCAGCTTATAACACCGAGAATGTAGAGATTGAAAACCTTTCACATTATTTCTGTTTTCGCCTTGCCAGCGAGGTCTAGGCAAGGGTGTCACTTTGTAATGAAATTTGGTGGGGATACTCCAGTGGTGGCTGATGGACCTATAGTTACTTGACCCAAATGCTTTCATTAGGTTTTTGTATTTTCCCAAAGTTGAGCTCCAACATATGGGTGATTCTTTAACTACAGGCACTATTGGCCTTGCAAACATGAAGAGAAAAAGTATAATAAAATATAAATTCTCACATTGGAATCAGTTATCATAACTAGTCTAGTTTAAAGATTCATAAGAGAACACACTGATTTTTTAAGACAAATTGGTGTTTTTTAACAGATTTCCCAACTCGGCTGGCACAAATATAATTTCAATCACATATAAATATTTGTAATTTATTTTAAAATACTATGATACACATAATGTTTTTTCACTGGAAGAACAATTTCATATATAGTTTTAACTGTTTATGCCTTTATTGTTAAACACATACATTTATGGATTAGGTAAATTGATGAGGACAAGACGCAAATCTTCTGTTCGCCATAACCTGAGATATAGCATTGGAATCGCAAGATACATTTCAATGTGTAAATACTTGTGTTTTTAATTAAAGTGGAACATTATCTCTTAAGTTATGAAGGTTTTAATGAGTGATTAGAACTTTGCAACAATTTATTTACTAAAAACAAATGGTGTGGTGAAAATTACACGGCATGGTGGAAATTACTGGCTGTTGTTGAAATTACAATGAATGGACCATACAAACAAACCTTTCTGTTTAAAAACTTTATGGAGCATAATAATAAATAATAATTATAAATAAATACATTATTAAATAATAATAAATGCATTGCAGTTGTACACAGGTGGTACTAAGGGTGGGAGAGAGGGGGTGGCACCCCCGCAAGATGCTTAGCATGTAAATTATAGTTAGAAACATGTCAAAACTTGTCTAAAAAAAGTGTTGTTTTATAATATTACCACATTGTTGTAATAATAAAATGAGATAAATAAAATGTGAGAACAAGGGCCTTGTATGCGTATCTATCAATTACGCCTACACACGTAAATGTAATTTCCACCACACCACTGTAATTTCCACCCAAGAATGCAATGTGGTGGAATTACTGTGATGGAAATTACAATCTGACAGAAATCGGCGGGGAAATCTATGCTAGCATCACATATTAGCTAAGAAAGGGTCTCTAGCATTCTACAAAATACATCTATGTTTGTTAATATAACAATTAATTTCCAAACTGAGTTGATGTTACGGCATGTTTGGAAACTAACAACAATTGGTTTAGAAAATCAAATTAACAGTTGTATGACTTTTATTACTCCAATTATAGTTAGTTATTTTACTGATTTTATTCAAAGATATCTTAAAACATTAGAAAAAAGGTTTCTTTACTATTCATTTTTATCATTGAAGATCAAAAGTCTGGGTGTGGGACAAGCACAAAACAGTAATATTTACATATAAATGAGGTTAAAAAAAGGTGAAAAAGTCATCACAGACTACTAAAACAAATGTCCTAAAACAGTTTCATTGTAAAGATAACTATAAAGGTGTGAAATGTCCCTTTTAAATTTTTTTTCATGAAATATGATCAAAGGACATAAAAGTGCCCGTAGTTAAAGAATCACCCATATATTTATTGAATGCTTTCCTATTGTAAAGAACACAAGAGAACAATAATACGCTGATATTTAAACCGTTTTCTCCAGCTTCTTGCATTATATTACTAACTTGTATAACCTTAAGATTTGTTGTCATTTTTAGCTGAAAAACGTCCGCATGTCTAACAGGTCAAAAGATTTTTCAGTGGTGTCTCTAATTTTTTTAAACCAACCCGTCTCCTAACTTTAACCTAAACATGCACCGAAGTAGCTCCCATTAAATGCTGCTGTGTATATCTCCTCCAACCAAGTAGCTACTTTGTATACAATGAAATGCGACCACAAATCAGATGTCTCAAAGCGACAGGTCCTTTGATGTTTTACTGAAAGGCGGGACACAGGAGCAGCGAGAAAATAAAAACACGGACTCTAAAAGCTCTGAACAGAGTAAGCTGCACCCAACCTCTGAACTTTGGCTAAAGTAAATAAACGGAAAGGGGAAAAAAGCAGAGAATATTGGTGGGGACTGTTTTCACCAGGCCAAAGATGGTGGGGATATGTCCACACCAAACAAAGTTACGCCTGTGGGTCTTGACTGGTCTTGCTATCAACTATTCCATACTATGTTTTGGATCGCTTTCCTATTGCAAAAATAATCTCTGCCCCAACCTTAAATCTGTTTATGGTTTTTCCTTCTTAAAGATTGCCCATATTTCAATTGAATCGCAGACTCTTCAAACAGACTAACTAAAGAAAACCTTTCCCACAGCATGATACTACCAGTTCTGTCTGCCATAACATTAATGGCTGCCTCAGAATGCATTAGTCGTGTTCCATGGTCCTTTCATACCAAAGACAAAAAGTTATTCTAGTCTGTAGTTGTGACAAGACAAGGTAAAAGTGTCTGACTAAAAACATGCATTATAGTTTTAAACAGTTACCTGCATGGGAACAGGAATGTGTAACGGAGTCACGTTGCGTCTGAGAGCTGGTGCTGATTTGGGTCGGTATCTCCGTTTTCCCTGCATGTCAGTCCTGCCTCGGCTCTCTTCCTCCTCTGTGGGTTTCTGGAGGTTCTTTTGTTTTTTTCCTGAAGGAATGTTGGTGTAATATTCCTGGCTCCCTACAAACCCCTCATCCTGAGGACTTACAGCGAGGGCCAGGGAAGCCGGCGGCGTGTTCGTGGTGATGGTGCAGTCAGACGCAGAGCTATTCTGTTGGCGATGCTTAAATCTAAACGAGTCACTCCTGGTGGGTGGTGTGGGGGGTGTCTGAGGGGCTTCAGACACTGAACTCTGTGGTGAATGCTTGGACATTTGAGACAGAGACATGTAGTCCAGTTTAGGAGCCGTCTCTGGCCTCCTGAAAGCATTTACGTCAAATATAGACTTCCTCTGTTTGGGTTTTTTGAAGATGGAAAGCTGAGTGCATTCAGTGACAGAAGCTCCAGCTATGACTTTAGGCCATGTTCCTCCACCGGCCTTAACTGTAGGGCTTTGCCCTCTGTCTGCACATGGCTGCGCAGGATTGCAGTTCGAGACCAAAGGGGTAAAAGTAGGGGAGCGAGAATCGAGGTCTTGCCTCTGGTAGCTGTGCACTGGATAAGGCTCTGACAGACTGTGGGAGATGGAAGGTGAGCAGGAGTCCTGGGAGCAGTTAGAAAAGGATTTGTGATGGGAACGAGTGCAGCTGCTGCTGTTTTCCAGTGAATCGCATGCATCGTTACATACTTCCTCCTCCCTGCTGCCTGACTTGCAGCTGCAAATGTCAGTTTGAGTTGAGCAATTGTGCTTTGAGTTTCTGCAGCCCCTGGGGTGAAGCTCGCTGGATTGGAGGCGCAACGTCTTTTCAGAGTCTCTCAAAGCTTCAAATAAATTCTGTCCAGAGGAGCTCTGTGAAAAGAACTGTTAGAGAAAAGAAGTATCCGGTTAATTATTTCAGACTTACCTAATGCTGCAATAAAACATGATGAGGGATTGCCTTTTTCAGTTATAAATAAACATTTTATAAAAGCCAAAACATGATCTGAGGTACATATAGTACCATTATGTAGAATACCTGATCAGAAGCCATTAATCTGTAGATTTTATTTAACAGCTATGTTAATATTTAGAGTACAGGATATTCACCTTCATAAGAGAGATAGTTAGAGAGCTGCCACCAGTCCTCAGCAGTGACTCGCATTCAGAAAGGGACTTGTCATGAAGTTCATTTCCATTGATCTGTATGCAACAAAAATGAAAATAGAATAAAACATTCCTTGCTTTGATTATCATAATCTTGAAAATGGCTGAAGTAAAACAAGTTTACAGCTACAACAAAATTAAAAGGACTTTATAAACTTTTTAATGTAGAACATTCTATCTCTTCTTTTTTTTACATTAGCCAAATTGATTAATGTTTTTGTTAGCATTTACTTCAGATTTCCTATTTATTTTATTTCCAAAACAATATTGGACTCTTTATACATCATCGTACAGCAAAGAAACCAAATTATCAATAGCACAGGTTTGGAAGACTGCTGCTGTTTATGCTTGCTGTCTGTAGAGGGCACTGCAGGCTATAGTTAATGATGAATAATTTTCACTTGTGTCTTGATTTTTTTTAAAAGACATACTTACAGCCAACAGTCTGTCACCAACAGCAAGATTACAGTCTCTGGCAGCAGGACTTCCTGCAGCCAAAGTGGCAACAAACACTCCGCTCTCCAAACCGATTCCACAGTCTGAGACAGTAAGAAAAGTTCAGACTTGAAACAACTTATATTATGAACATCACAGCTGCCAAACAAGTGAATAGACATCACATCTGTGGCTCAGCAGTCCATTGGAAAAGAATATGACACTTTTTTTTTTTTTCTATAATTTTTTTCACATTTAGTCAGGTAAAATAATAAGTGGTTTTTAGTACTATAATGAACTGGAAAGAGTGGCTTGCGTTTTGTGTTATGATGCACCCTTCAACCAACTCCAGAAGTACTCTGGACAGAGAAAGAATCAGTGCACAAGAATATTTAAGTCTTCCTAAAGATTCTCATTTTTATTTGGGTCTGGACTTTACCAGAGCCGTTAGCATATTGTTTGAACACTTTAGCCGTTGTTTGCATATTTAGGGTTGTTGTCCTAGCTCCAAGTATTTTTTTTTTTTTTCTTTTTCAATGACATTCCTGTTTTTTAGCTCCATTCATGTACTGAGGATGAAGATTTCAGGGTGATATCAAAAACATTTCCCTCCTCACCAGTGAAGCAGCGGTGGGAATCGTGTTTAGGATGTGGCCCCTATTCTTACTTAAAGCCACTCTTGCAAGTATTACTTTGTGTTTGTCTAACACAGAGGACCCCAGAACTGATGGCGAGATTTAGCGGGGACCCCCTAATTACATATATTGTATTAAATTGTGTTATATCAAACTGGTCCTGTAGTCACTCTATTGCATGTCATGTAACGAAAGCAATTATTAAAGTATTTCTGATTCTGATTCCTCATTGATGGGACAGGTATTGTGAATGAAACGGTGCCCAGCTTGAAAGAGCTCCTGTGTGTGCACTGATGACTGAATGTGTGCATTGATGACTGAAAGACAGTTTCTGCCTCCATTTATCTGTTTACTACAGTGTGTTGAATTCATGTTAGTGTGTATTTAAAGACGTTTTAATTAGTGGAAAAATTGCAAAGGTGAATAAAAAAAAAAAAAAAGTCTAATCAACCAAAACTTTGGTGACCCCCATGCACTAACCCCGTGGACCCCCTAGGGGTCGCGGACTCTGTGTTGAAGCCATCCAGTCCAACATGTAAAATATTGTGGTTAAAACTTCTGAAAGGATCAAGCTAAAATATGTCTTAACTTTATTGTTGAAACTGACCTTTGTGTCCAGCCAGGTTAATCTGGATTGAAGTGACGACCCGTCCTCCAAGTGACTTCCTTCTTCGAACCACCATATTGATCACTCCCTCCCTACTCAACACAGCCTTAAGCACCTGTTTTCTGTCTTTATTGGTCAGATCCACGTCATTAATCTTTAACAACCAGTCGTTTACCCTGCACAGTGAAGATTCTGAAGTCAGTTTTTTTCAGTGTTTTTCTTTTATGTGATCTTATCTAAACTTTTTTTTTTAATCATATCATCGGAATAGTATAACTGACATTTACCTCAATCTTCCTTCTGCAATACTTCCTTTGTCCACTTTGGAAACAAATATCCCACAATCTCCTGGCAAATATGGATCATTTACACACTCCGTAATATCAAAACCAAGTGCTTTCAAATCCATATCCTAAAAAAACGGATCAAGCAAATATTTCAATTACCCATTAATTACTTTGCTGTTTATCAATAAGCATGTAAAAAAAAAAAAAAAAAAAACTTACTCTGTGTTTTTCCAGTTCTACAACCTCCGTTTCCCACTCTATTGAGTCTGTGTCTATGGCTGAATCATGTGAACTATGAGCCATCAGCTGCCGATATCTGGCTTCTGTCTCCAACTGGTCATCCAACTTTTCTCTGCAACAAAAAATGAAATGTGTTCTTTAGCACTCAGGTTACAACTCACTGGTAGCCTAAATGATCCCGAAAGAAGAGAATAATGCTGAAGTCTAACACTGAGATAAAGCAGACAATACCTAGCATATCTAGCACAGGGACAATAAAGGTAAAGAATAAAGACATACTTTAGCTCTTTGAGGTCTCGCACAGCATCGTTCTTCTGCTTCCTTGTATCATCCAAATTCCTCAGCGCATCAGCCAAATCGCTTACAGCCCGATCTCTCTCTCGCCTAAGGTTGTCACATAACGTGCTGCGAATGTAGCAATGCAGATACTTCCATTTAAATTCACATGACAAACAGAAGGAATTCATCTCCAGATTTTAAATAAAGTTCTTTACCGAATGCTCTCCCTCTCTGCCACAATCTTGTCCCTCTCCTGAAAGGCCCAGTCCCGTCGACACTTAGCAACCTCTGCCTCTTGAAGAGCCTCTTTGAGCTCTTGGGAAATGGCCTCATACTGCTTCCTGAGAATCTCGATCTCTTTGTTTGCTCGCTCCATATCCAGAGTAGCAGAATCCTGTTTCTACAAGGGCATAAACATTAGGTCATACATGATTATGTCCAATGAAAAAAAATAAATAAATGCAAATTTAATTTCATATCAAGGTTACTTATATCTCTGCCACTTTGCATACTGACCTAATTTTACGAACCTGTGGGATGGCTTAAAAAAATGATTCTTAAAAATCCTCTCCAAATATTTCAGTCTCTAGATCTGCAAAGCTAAAGAGACGAATCCCAAAAGACACGCAGCTGAAACTGCGGCAAAAGGTGCCTCTACAAGGTTTTGCAGTGGGGCCAGATTTTAAAGCAAAACACACTTTTAAAATCCTTAGTATTAACCGAGCGTGAAGAACATTTTTTGCACTCATTGCAATTATGTGCTACTGGTCAAACAATGAAAATACATGTGATATCTAAAAGTTTGACTCATCTTGGCTAAGTGGCACACTTGCTCCCTCCTATCTCTTTACACCCTATAAATGTACTGTTTGCAAGCTGGTTGCTGGGTCAGCCAATGCTAATGCTAACCAGAGGCTAGTAAAGCTTTAGCATTAGCATTTATATTACTTGACCAATAGGAAAGCAGTAATCTCTGTGTGACTTTTGAGTAGTTTTATTTGACATTTAAGCTGATGATCTTGACCTATGCTCACCCTCATTTTGCTTCTTTTTTTGTTTAGTTTTTGCTTAAATCAGAGAAACTTGATGCTAAAAAGAAGTAATTTCTCAGCTTTATCATGGAGCAACTAGGATCTGGCAAAACCAGAGTTCCTTTTTACTTGAATTCAACCTAATAATTGATAAACAGAAGTAAATAACTACATATTTTGGAAGGGATGTCATGATCTGATATTGGTTTTTATTTTAGTGATATCCCTTGATCAAGCTTTTTCTATATTCCACTAGAAAATTAAAGCCGGATTTGTGCAGATAATATATCGGGTCAATATAGGTATCGATCACTACTTAAAGCTGTTATATATTGGAAGGGAAAAAGTTGTATAGTGTCATCCCTATACTTTTATTAATTTCGAGCAAACATAAATATTTCCAAACGATAATTTATACACACAATATTTTTATTTCAGTGAAATTCATTTTTTATTCTGCATCCTTCCAGATGTTCTGTGTGTGTATTTGCTTTCAATCAATAATATTTTTATTAAACAAATTCATGGCCCTATGTGTTTGCAAAAAAAAGTTAAAACATCGGTTGTAATAAAATATGAAAAACTTGAAAAAGCTGAAACTTTAGTCCAGGATTATTTATGGAGGCTCTAATCAACAAACTACCAATGACTTTTGTGAGTTTCCAAAGGAAAAGTTCATGTAACTTCCTAAATACATTCTACAAATATAAAAGGTCAAACAAAAAAAACCCAAGAATCCTCTTGTGATATAATATGATAACAGAAATTGGATTAAGTTTGGTAGTTTGAGGTTTGTCAGGCACAAAATGGATGTAAAGGTCACAGAGAGTCTGCTGGGGTAAAGCATGGTACTCTTGTCTCCCTCTAAATAAATCTCCAGTGGAAAGGCAGTTAAGTGTATTGAAAGGATAAATCAAGCCAACTGCTTAATCAGACCGCACCACACTGTTCATTTCTCATGCAGTGTATTATTCTTGAGCACTTAAAAAGTCTAATGGATGCGGCTCGTCATTTTAATTAATGGCAATCTCCCTAATGCAGAACTCTGAGTCAGACTGTAAATAATCCCACAATCACTGAAATCAAATTGAAGGCTGATGCTTTAACTCCTTAAGCATATCACTGTGTGGGAACCACCTAGCTTCACTCTAAATACAATATGAGATCAGATGAGGGGATTATTCTCAGAGAGCTAAATCAATCCAACCGTTTGGGTTGTGTACCTGTCTGGCCTGGTAATACTCTCGTAGCAGCTGGTCCCTTTGGATGATGGCTTCTGTTCTCTCCTTGCGGGCCACATCTCTTTCCTCACGCACCATCTCAATGTCTTTGCAGGCCTGGTTTAGCTCCTTCTGAGCCTCAGCCTTGTCCTTTACCTCATGGCAGTATTTCTCCAGCAGCTCGTTCTTTTCACAGATAGCTCGGTCCCGGTCCACCAGTGCTGAAGCCAACTCCTAAAAGGGACGCATGTTAATGAGGAAACAAATAGAGAAATAAAAGAAGGATAAGACAGAAGGATGGAAGGACAGGAAAAAACAAGACAGGGAAAAAGTGCATAAGAAAAGAAGAAAATAAAAGGGAAATAAAATGAAAGCGTGTTAGACTTCTCTCTTCTTTAAGCTTTTCTTTCCATTCTTATACAGACTTGGAAAAATATTCTAGACTTTTTGAAACATCAAGAGGACCATGGAGAGGAACCCCGTTTTATCTCTTACTTGTTGTAAAGCCTCCAGCTCCTCGGTGGCCACCCGCCTCTCTGAGGAATTGTTCATAAGCTTTGCCTCGGCCACCTCCAGCCCCGTCTGGAGCCTGTCCACCTCTTTGATCACCTGGTCCCTCTCGCTCATGATCAGGCGGTACTCGCTGATCACAGAGTCTCGCTCCTCCTTGTACTTCTCGCAGTCCTTCACAGCCTTTAACTGCTGGGTCTTAAGTCGGGTCGCCTCTGACTGCAGCCGCTCAAGCTCTCGCTGGAGCTCCAAGTTCTGGACTGTGGCTTTGGAAAGCTCATGTTGAGTGTTGTCAAACCTAAATCAAAAAATGGTTTTAAAGCAATTTATATTCATTTGTACAAATTGGCGACAGCAGAATTTCATGCAAGTAATTCAGTTGCAGCCAAAGTACCTGCAGATCACATTTTTTAATAAACAGGTTGCCGTTTGAGCCTCATCTCTGCAGGTTTACCTTTGAACAGACGTTGAGAACTGCTGCTGATAGTGGATGGCAGCATCTCTCTGTTTCGACAATATATCCAGGGTCTTTTGCAGTCTGTGATTCTCCTCCTCTAATTGGTCCAAACGGCTCAACTCAGCATTGTGACTCGCTATCTTCTCATTGTAACGCTTCCTCAGAGCCTCATAGTCACTCTTCATTGCATCCAGTTTGTCCACAGCTGCTTCATAAAGCTTGTTTAAGACATCAGATGATCCTTCTCTCATTACCTGCAATTGAAAATTAGAGAATTTTCTAAAAGGCCACAGAAAAACTGTTGGATTTTTTATTTGTCAATTTGAGTTGTGCAATATAGATTTAATGAAATTAAGATTATCTGAGACATAGCTATGTCCAGGTAAAGAAAAGTTTAGAGGGGATTAGTATTCATACCCCTTGTCCACAATGTCCAGTGGGGTTATTAACGCATAAAAAACATCTAATTGCAACTAAAGCACAGCCATTTGCGACATTTATGTCAGCATCTGGAGTCAAGCGCAAATTGTCCAGCCAGCCCACATCAGACCAGATAAGGAGCTTCAGAGCCAACATCTAAAAGAATACACTCCCTTGAAAATAGGTTTAAACCTGAATAGTATGTCTTAGTAACTGGCTTAAGAAAAAACAAGTATCCTTATTGGTATTAATTTTTGCATGTGAATAGCACATGTTAACCTCTGAAAGGCAGTGCTTTATGCACAGCTGTAATGTCATAGTTCTCTTCTCGGCATCAGAAAAAAATAATATAACTTCCATTTAAATCAAAACTCTGATAAGCAGCATTATATGCCTCGTTACCATTTTTTTACCATATTCGGTGACAAGATTTGTACTATAAATAATGTCTACGCACTGTTTCGTTCACACTTGAATGAAGTAGGTTTTTAAAAAGTTTGCAAAAATATTGAGGGATGCTAAAAAGAGCTAAATGATTTTAACCTAAATTGAGTATGCTGGTTGATTACCATAAATAATGGATTAATTAGGACTTTAATTACATTCTGCCTCATATGTAGAGGGCATCCACAGATAGTCAAACAACACGGGATGATGGAATTAGCTTTTTAAGTATCCTGCTTTTTGTTTAAGAAGAAAAGTTAAACACCTGCTGATGCAGCATCTTCATATCAGCCAGCTCCCTCTCATCTTCATCATGCAGCCTCCTGAGCTCCTCGCAGGTCTGCTTCACATGATTGTGCTCTCTGACCAGCTGGATGTTGTGTTGCCTCACAGCCTCTAGTTCTTCCTTTAGCTGGTTGTGGTCACTCGCTAGACGTCTGAAAAGAATATAAGCAATACTAGCTAAACAAGCCTGATTGCAGTCTTTTAGTTTTTCACCTGAATTATGGCAACATTTGTTGTATGTAACTAACTCTAGGAGACCCTCGTTATCTAATACATTTTAACATAATATAATTACTAAGGAAGACAAATTACACTCTTTTTGGGGGACAATTTCTCTAAACAGCTTAATTTATTATTATTATTAGTAGTAGAAGTAGTTTTGGCAAATATAAAATTTAATAAGTAACCAGTGTTTCAGGAAAGGGGAGCATTTATCAGAGAAGCAGCCAAGAGACCAAATTATTTAATCTATTGTAAAACTGTGTAGACTAAACAAATATTAAACGTACACTCATAAAAAAGTGGTACTAAGAAAAGCACTGCTAAAAACAGCACTTTTAAAGCCACAGTGAGATGTGGTTTTGAAAGGTGCTTTTAAAAGGCACAGTACAAGATTCCATTATTTCATAAGAAATGCAAGGGTTTAAAAAAAATAAAAAGAATGTAAACAAAAGCACATTTTTTAAAATTCATGAACCCCTGAACTGTATTCTCCTTTATACCACAGGAGAATACAATGTGGTATAAAACATGATGATTTTTCCACATGTATCAAAGTCCTGGGAAATACCAAAATAAATTTCAAAATAAAAAAAAACATTTTCAGAGCTTGAAACTTGAAATGAACTTGCCTGTTAAGAGGAGTTGAAAAGTGAAAATGTTTGCAGGGTTTAACCTTTTAAGTCTGTATCAACAGAGCTATGGATAGGAGAATCCATTTATCGTCACGGGCTATGAATGTGATTTCCTGTTAAAATGGAGCGGTGCTTCATGGGTACATAAAGGGACAGATCAGACAGTAATAAATAAATACTTTCTGTCAAAAGCAAACAGGCCCAGAAGGAGCGGCTTAAACGTGGCAATAATCCTTCATCTGTTCGTTTGCATTGGAGGCCAGATGTCGGTTGTACACACTTTGGAAAAGGAGTAGGGCATCATTAAATCACACAAATGGACCAGGCTTTCCACCATGTCAACTCCAGACAGCTTATTCCACAGACCTACAGCCTCCGTGCGTAGCTGTATCCACATGGCACAGATGTGCTGCTACTCAAAGTGTTTTATTAATGAACCCAGAGCTCATATGGGCATGAAGAACTCTCTGATTTTAACTTGCTCTCTGAATATTTTATCGACTTCAAAAGACTTAAATCAGTGTGATCAAACTGCTGGTTTAAGACTGCTGAAAAATTAACAAAAATAAATAAATAAAATAGCCCATATACAATCTTTTCACTTACCGATAAAAGTCAGCTTTTTTTACAGCCTCCTCGCACCTCTTCAGGGTTGTGCTGTGCTGGTTCTGCAGGGACTGCAGGTCCGCCATTGCCTTCATGCACTGCAGCTTTAGACGCTCATAGTCATGACCTGATCTTGAGTTTAGTCTGTTTATTGGAATAAAAGAACAAAGTAGGATAAATAAACAAAACAGGCTTTGCAGAGCCATAATCGGATTTTACTGGATAACAGGTTGCATTAATGCAAACAACTTAAGCTAATTTATTGATGATTAGTTTTGTTAACTGTACCTGCATTCCTCAAAAGCATTTCCAGAAGGTAAGGCCACACGTCTGAGCAGTTCATCCCTCTCACGAGTCACTTGTCGAAGCTGTAACAGCACCGTCTCCATCTTCTCATTTGCCTGATGCACATCGACGTGGCCAGGAAGAGGGGAGGAGGCTTGACCAGAGGTACCTGAGAGTCAGCATGTCAGTAACGAAAAGACACTTCTACAAATGGCAACTGAATTTATGCTGTAGCCTAAAACTGTTTAGATAAACACTTTTTTCAATCATCAAGAAGAATGAAAAGGAAAAAAATGGCAAGAAGTTATCAGAATTTATTTTGGTTTCCAATACAGTTGTTTAATAATCAAGTACAGGCATATGACTGCAGTTAATTGTAGTTTTTAATGCCCAGATTTCTTACATTTACAGATTCATTTTTAAAAGTATAAATCTAAGTTGAACATGCAGCAGTGATTCTCTCCAAGGTTTGGCTTAGTATGCCCTGCTGGGAGGACAAATAGATGAATAACCAAAAAGATAGGTGGATAGATGGACAGTGGCCCATTAGAATATTTAGACGAAGGGATAGAGAATAAGTCTTATAAAACAAGTACACCATTTCCTCCCCCAGACCTGTTCTTGTTCTTTTATTTATTTCACTAATTTTCTGATATTAAATCAGATTAAATTTTTTCCTATTCAAGTCAGAAACATTACTATAAATGCCAAAACATTTTTTGGAAAGACAGAAATTTACATAGGATTCCTTAATATCAGTTTGACAGAATGGCCCTTAAGCTGAATGTCTTGGTTTGTAGTCAATTTTAAGTTTTGGCCCACTTCTCTGAAATGTTGTCCCTGACTTATTGCTAGGCTACCTTGCTATAGACACCTTTTAGTTCTGCAACAAGACTTAGAATACTTTTAAATATCCTTTTGTACAGCTTCATGACATTTCAATTTATTCTATCTTATTTTACACTCTTCTGAAATCAGGGCGGTTCGATAGCAACTCCAAAAATGTTAACTTTTTTTTTTCCCCTTCAGACACTTTCTAACCAAGTTTTATTATTATTATTTTTGAAAACCTAGTTATGCCTAAGCTTCAACTTCCTGGTTTATGACTTTAGGAAATATTGTTTCCTTAGATTCTATCCAGTTTGAGAATTGCAAAACACACAAAACATAATCCTTTCTCCCTTGTATTTATAGCTGTAGCAGTGTCATCCAAATGCATAGTTGGACAATATGGCCAAACAAGCAATCAGAGAGAAGGACACATCTAAAAAATTTAAGATATTTTCTTCAAGTTCATCTGAAAACTCTAATCTGGCTCCGGTCTGAAAAAACAAACCATCTCCAGTGAGCACCTTTTGTTCTGAGGCTAACACGCACCAAAACACATTCATCTCCAACAATCTCCAAAACTGTTCCTCTGAACAGTAGAATGAGCAAGCTTTTCTTATGCTGTTTCTACTTGTATACAATTTTTTAAACAGATGACTGCGGTAGATTCAGCCATCTGGAAATTGTACTCAACATTGTTAATCCAAACCAAACTACAAGAGAACGTCTGATTTACTGTCATATTAAGCAAATAAAGCTTCCTTTATAAATAGTGCATTAATCAAATTGTGTATATCTATTGTAATTTTAACACCTAGTTTTGAGAAAAATAGCAAATTTATTACTTTAAAATAACTTATTTATGACAACAATGAAAAAATAAGCAAGGAAAAAAAACATTAGCTAGGTTAATGATTTTCAGCAAAGTTTTTAAAGCCTAGATTTGGTATTTTCCCCCCCCCGCAGCATGTGCTGTTCAATCCTCTGTCCCTAAGAGAATTACCCTCAAACTGGCTCTGCACATCTGTCTGTGTGCATGGTAGTAGAGGGTTTCTAAATCGTTGTCGCATCTGTCTAATCACTAGCATGTGCTCACAGTCTAAATAGCAAACAACCAGTCACGGTATTTTTTATACAACTTGCTCCTTTCCACATAAAAGGTAGCTTTTATCTAGAGGGAAAAATGTTGTTTTTTTTCTTAAATCTTTATACATTTTAAACGTGTAACTCACCAGGGCTGCCACGCTCACCCAAGCTGCTGAGCGAGCTGCTGCTCTCCGAGTCTGATGGCATTGTGGACAAAACGCTGTAAGTGGACCCTGTGGGGCGAACAAAAACATTAAAGTCAGCTCTGTAGCTGCATTATGGAACAAAGATTATCCTCGACATTGTGTGGCACATCAAGGCTGCATGGCTCCGGTTACAATCAGGAACTTTTAGTAGAGAAAAGAAGAAAAAAGAAATCCAGCTGGAGGAATAAAAGCTGGGACTTTCCCCAACTTTGGATGACAAGCCTGTGGGCTTGCAGAGTGTAGCTAATTATCAGTTGGGCAGGAACCTTGAATACAGGCTAGCAGGGGCCCAAAAGAGGCTGCAGTCTTAGAGCTTCTTCTTTTATCTCCTCTGACAACAACACTCCATCCTCCCTGTGAAAGCCCTTTTATAAAGTACAGTGATTTATAATTAACTGTAATGAATAAACAACATTTAATATTATGAAGAAGATTGTGAAATTTGACAATGTAATGAAAGAGTAATGGTTGATCAAGAACAGGCTGATCATAAGAAACAGTTTTTGGTAAATCATTGCTAATTTTGTCCATCCTAGTCATAGCAAACTAATTACGTCAAGAAATAGGCAGGTTTAAAAATAAGTCTCCTACTTCATATGCATTAAAAATATCAACATATTTGGCCCCTGATTAGAGCTGGGTTAATCAAATTAGAAATATAATAGCCTTTATTAAAAAACAAAAAAACTACTTCCAAATCAAACATGCACTCCATATTTAGTCTTGTTCATTTAATAATAAACACTGGTTTATACTCCAAGTGTTAAACCTTGCATGAGGGGGCATGCTAAAAAAAAAAAAAAAAAGGACGCAAACCGATCTTAGTGCACGTGTGCTTTGTTGTGGCACGTGGTCCAGCTCGTCCAAATTTTTGTAACTCCGTATTGACAGCATGCGCCGCATTAAAATTTTAAGTAATTTTTCCTTAAAATTTGTTCATTTTTCTTGAATTGAGGAGGTAAGTGATTCTTTGCCAACAGAACAAGACACTTTACATTTAAAATAAGAAAAAACAATTGCATTGTCTTACTTAACGTAATCCATGGTTCTTTGATAACAGAGTGAGGCGTTTCACCTGCCTAGAAGGAGTTGAGGCTGGTAGGTTGGCCCTGATAATGGTTGGTGGGTGGAGCCACAGGCACGGCTTAACCTGTCTGTCACAGACAGATGTGATGTCATTGGAGCTTCCGTAGTTGGTCACGCCAAGGCGATTCCCAAACCAGTGAGTTCCAATTTAACAATAATTTAAAAAAAGATTTTTTTTTAAATCAGATAACAGACAGTAAATTTCACAAAACCCTCTTCAGATCAAGTATGGAGATGTTCGAGATTAATTTAGACAGACAACATTACACTAAGAAATGATATGGATTACAGGAGTACAGGAAGTGCAAGCAGCGGTTCTACTTGACAAACTGGAGAGTTATTGTGTTTTTGCTTTTTCCCTCTGGAAACACTTTCTGATTGGGTACATCACGTTCCACAGGTTCAACATACCAGGATATCGGGCCAAGACAAACCAACATGCTGGCTTTTCCTGATTTGTGATCGGAGCGATGCAGTAGTGTGATCTTTTCAGGCAGACCCAATCACACTAAGCACACCACACACTGAATGATTATCTCTTAAGATCATCCACCTGATAATCAAGGGCTCTTAGAATATGAATATTGGGTCAAAAATTGTTGCGCCTTCCTTGCTGTGTGAAGAAATAAGGCACGGGTTCAAGATTTAAGGGGTACAACTCTTCAGTAATAACCAATTTTGGCTTTGGAGACCCCAAGAGGTTACTGACAAATATATGTTAATAATCAACATTAATATTTACAGTTTATTGCATCTATTCCTGCATGAACTTCTCAAAAAGCAGTGTGGAATTTGTGTCTTTTTAGTGCAATAATCTCAATGGAAAGGTCAAGAAATCCTCTTTGACATGGTTTTTATGTATGATTTATATAGTGTTGAACCTAGTTAATCAACACTGCAGAAATACAACCATCATCACCCAACAAGGTATGATGTCAACTCTCACAATATCTATATTGATTTAATTAAAACATGTTCAATAATGCAAAGATATCTACACAACTTTAAATCTGATATTTAAGTGTTACAGGAAGCTGGAAACGTGGTGGCTGAGAGGTTTAGAATTTTGGCCTTAAACAAACCGCCTGCACTGCACATTTACTGACGTCCTTCTCCCTCTTGGCGGAGAAATGAACAGCTTATAGTTTGGTTAAATCAGCATCTTCCATCCATGATGTGAAGCAGTCCAGTGTGGAACTGGGGCAGCCAGGACCATGACAAACGATTCTATTTACCCAAGTCCCAGTACTCAAATAAATCCCTGGCTGGCTGGGTTCCCTCCAACTAAAGGATACTACTGTATGAGCAGAGACTGCACGGAGCCAGGCTAACATGCTTCACTCTTGTTTTTTCTCTCCCAGCGAATGACAAAAAAAAAAAAAAAAAAAAAAAAAAAGACTTTGCCTCAGGAATCATCCCGTTTATCAGGCTTTTTTTGTTATTGCTCAAGATTGAGTTTGCCATTACTGACAAGGTGTTCTGTGTCTAAACTGTGGAGGTCTTGTGACTTTGAACACACTGCATTGTGTTACTTATTTGACTGCTTCTGCTTCTTTTTGTCTATTCTGTCAATTCTATTATGTTTTTTTTAAAGGTGTCTGAGGAAACAGTTTTCCAGGCTTCTGAAAGTCCTTTAAAGTCATGTTTTTCGTGAGGAAAGTAATCGTCAATTATGAGATAATTGCCCCAAGCAATCTTACTATGACCAATAAATAACAGATCCCGTATCTTATAAAATATCCCAACCTTTCAAGGAGCGCTGAAGTTTTTCCATGAGATTTTATAGGATTCAAAGTAGCACCATACACCCAATATATGGACCACACTACCTTGGCTTTTAGCTAGAAATATTTCATAGTGTGTACACCTAGGTGTATCACATCTTTAGGCTTTGCGTAGCATATGGTGATCCAGGGGCATTCTTCCCCTGGAAATGTTTTAAATTTAGACTCTATGAAACACTATTTCCTGCACTTTGAGGTGGAATGCTGCTAAATTTTTTTGTCTTTGTTCCAACACTTTCACTTTTGTCCTGATTATGGGAAGTATGTGTGCTTGACTAGAGGTGGGAATTTCATAAGGCAGGCCATTAGATCATTTTTAGGTACGATATTAGGTACTCGTACTCGTCGTCTCCCGCTTTATCCGAAACCGGGTCGCGGGGGCAGCAGACTAAGCAGAGACTCCCAGACTTCCCTCTCCGCAGACACCTCCTCCAGCTCTGCTGGGGGAAGCCCTAGGCGCTCCCAGGCCAGCCGAGAGACGTAGTCTC